GGGAAGCATGGCAAGCTGGGTCAAATCTGTCTTGCAACGCCCTGCGCACCGGTAGAAACCTCAGATGGAGCGTCGACAGGCCGCGCACAACAGCGGCACCTGAATGAAATGGGTAAAGCAGAGGAACTGATGGAACGATGCCGTGGACATGACCACCTCGAGGAAGGGGGAAAAGGAAGACATCCATGTTCCGGTGCCCGACCATGTCCCCCTACGCCATCCCCCCCCCTCCCGGCAGCCAGGCTAATGGGACGCACTCGCTCACTAGCTACCGCAGCAAATGGCAAGGATAAGGACAAGGACGAAGATTCAATGCTGGATGGACAGCCTGCACCATGGCGGTCTAGCCCGTTTGGCACCTTGTCTCCCGAATCGGCTTGCCAAACGAGCGCGTGCTATTGGATCATGACTAAGTAATCCTACGTCGACCCAAACCTCTACTGACCTACCCAGGCTTGGTCGATCACACCATGACCACAAACACCAAACACCACGTGGCGTGATTCTCTTGTTCCTCGCAGCCTCGCCTCCAGAACACCCATTCTTTCCATCATGTCTGAACCGCAGTCACAGGCAGCCGCTGCGCCGTCGGCTACATCACCGCCGCCGGCTACATCACCGCCGCCGGCTACATCACCAAGATCGTCGCCTCCCCACGCCGGTTCCCCGCCCACGTCCGCGTCGCCCGCCATCGCCAGCGGCCCCGACGCCTCGGATGACCATCTGCAGCCCATTGAGGTGAACGACGAAGACTCGGTGCTGGGCGCAGAGGACGACGCACGCTCCGACTATGCCTCGGACGTCTCCGACACAGCCAGTGTCACCTCCTCCGTGTTCAATTTCGAGTATGAGAATGGCCGCCGCTACCACAGCTACCGCGCCGGCCAATACCTCCTTCCCAATGACGACAAGGAGCAGGACCGCCTCGACCTCACCCACCACGTCTTCTCCCTCACCCTCCACGGCGAGCTGTGCATCTCCCATCTCGAGAACCCCCGGCGCATCCTCGACCTGGGCACCGGCACGGGCATCTGGGCCATAGACGCCGGCGACCAGTTCCCCGCCGCCGAGGTCATCGGCACCGACCTCTCCCCCATCCAGTCCTCCTGGGTGCCGCCCAACGTCCGCTTCGAGGTCGATGATGCCACCCTTCCGTGGACCTGGCCCCGCGACCACTTTGACTTTGTCCACGCCCGCACCCTCGGGGGCGCCATCAAGGACTGGCCCACCCTTCTCCGCCAGTGCCGCCATCACCTCGTCCCGGGGGGCCAGGTCGAGATCGCCGAGGGCCGCGCCGACTTCTTCTGCGACGACGGCACCCTCACCGAGTCGTCCAAGACGTACCAGTGGCTCTCCGAGTTTCGCCGTCTCGCACAGCCCCTCGGCTTCGACATCGCCCCCGCACTGCCCCAGCTGCTCGAGGACGCCGGCTTCGAGGACGTCCGCATCGTCCAGAGGCGCGTGCCGCTCGGCACGTGGCCCAAGGACGCCCATCTCCGGGAGATTGGCCGTGCTTTCCGTGTGCAGTTTGTCGAGTATGCGCTCGAGGCCTACTCGCTCGCCCTGTTCACGAGGCTGGGCGGCTGGACGAACGAGGAGGCCCAGGTCCTCTTTGCCATGGTCAGGGATGAGATGAAGACGAACAAGGTTCATCTTTATACCTACACGTGAGTTTCTCCCCCTTTTTTTTTGTCAAGGCACGATGAGCGTGTGCTAACCCATGGTTCCAGGGCCTTTGTAACGGGTCGGAAGCCGACGACCGCAACTTCTTGATCTCGGGTTGATGGGCTCCAGGCGGCCCGGAGACTTGTTGCTTGAGTCTAGAGCACTATAACACACGAGCCAGCGTTCTTTTTTAGTTCATGCCCTTTTCGTTGCTTCGCCGCATAGAGACCTCCCTTGCATCATGCACAAGACTAAGGACATATCCCTCGACCATCATTCGGCTCTCGAGACGAAGCCATGCTCATGGAATGGACTGCCTGGCTTGAGCCGGCGGTGCAGCATTCGCCGCGTTGCTCTGGGCGTCTGACTGCTCCAGAGGCTTGTAGGGAGTTGGAGAATGACCTCGAAGACGTTCGTATAGCTGACTGCTCGTCAATTGTTCATTGTTCGGCTGTGGATATCAAGTGATAGATCTGCTGTCCGGACAGCACCATGCAGGGTGACCCTCCGCTCAATAGGGGTAGAAGAAAGGGCGTGCGCACGAGGTCAGGCTCTTCGAGTCCATTGTGAGGAGAACAGGACCTGCTTTGAGACATGAGCGTGACTGTGAGTCGTATGCCGATTGGCTCTCCTACGGTCGAACCACCAGAAGCTGTGGGTGCCGTTGGGATGAATTGAGCCGAGCTGCACTATATCACAGTTTTGGCTACTGTAGGCTCACTCTCTCCCGTTGACTGGTGATTCGTCCTGGTGGTGCGTGGCCAGCGCTGTCTGATGTATGCTTTTCTGCGGAGCTGGGCCTGGAGTGCAAATGAAAGAGGCCGTGGATTTACTGAGAGAGGACGACTTTACCGTGATTGAACAAAATGTGAATGACCTATGGGTAGCTGTTAAATGACCACGCACTTTGGGTGAGTTTGAGATTTCGACTACATCAGAAGCCAGCCTCTGCGTTGGCCGTGGCCGGCGGCCTCTATCGTCGGAGCACGCAACAAGACCAAAGGACTGCTCCATCAGCTTGGTGTGCAGGGTGAATGGACCCTGGAATAACTGAGAGACGACCGTCATGGTGTGATGCATCTCTGCATGTCGCTGTCAAGAAGGGGAGAGCGAGACAGGGATGCGGGAACGATGGTAGAAAGCTTGGGAGAGTACTCACAATTGT